AGACTTGCTGGAGAGTCTTGGCCAAGTATCATCTACCTTGAAGCTCCACATTTTACCCACCAACAATATACTCAAGCTGTAGCTTTCATTTCTATTAAGGGCTTTTGAAGATGGATGTATTTGTGTTTGTAAAAAAATATATTAAGGTTTGCCAGATGTGTACACACAGGCAGCAAGAAACAGGCTACTCATGTTCTATAATTACCATGAGTGCATACGGTAGACGCTCAAAGTATTTGTATACGACTTTTCTAAAAAGAAAGAGAGAGGTAGCTCCACCTCAGCTATTAGATCATAACAGCTTTGACCTCCCATAATGGGGAAAGATAAATGATACGTTCCTACACATGTGTTTAAAGTGGGATTGTCTTTCATCTCCTGCTGGGACTCTGCCAGGAAAGATTCTCACTGTGGGGTTTAATGCTCTATGCTATAAGCCCAAACATGTTTATTTATTTTTACAATTCAAAAGACCTTTTTTCCCCCTGCTGTATCTCCTACTCTTTCTTTCCCCTTCTCTCTCTCTGTCATTAACTTTATGGGAATTTCCATGGAATTCTTTTGTAATATAAGTGATTGTGTGTGATGTGGAACCATTTGTGGGGGTGTGATGCTTTTCTTGGAGAAGCAGGGGTTAAATGATCCCTCCTCTGTTATTTCACCATGTTTTTCCTTTGAACCCTGCAGTGAGTAATACTAAATAATGTAGAATCATTTAACAGCATCCAAACATTTGTGTACTTGAGATTATCTAACCAAAGATTCTCAAACAATTAAACAAATCAATCTGCTGGCAAACTCACGTCTCTATACTCTTGTTGCTTTGAGGTTCAATTCAAAGTCCTTTACTGTTTGTTTTTTTATTATTATTCCTAGATGCTGGAATAGGACCAGAAATGTGCCCAGTCTCCAGTTGTGGAGGAAGTATTCAAAGGAAGTATTCAAATCCTTTACTTAAGTAAAAGTGTCAATGTGAATATACTGCATTGAAAATGTAATTTAATGTAAGTACAAGTCTGTTAGTATATTTAGCAAATTGTACTTAAAGTCACATAAAATGTAAAAGTACTCATAATGCAGGGTTAACGGTGAGTGAGTGTTATACTGTTATATATTATAGACTTTTTATTGAATTATTTATACTGATACAGTAATGTGTAAGCAGAATTTGGTTGGTTGAGGTGGCACTAATTTTAACTATTTTACATACTGTTAGGGAGTTTAATCCACATACTACATATTTTATAAACTGATCCTAATCTGTAAAGCAACTGTCAAATAAATGTAGTCGGGCAAAAAGTACAATATTTCTCTCCAAATTGTAGACGTACTGAGTAGAAGGAAATGTAAATACTCAAGTAAAGTACAAGCATCTCCAATTTGTACTGAAGTGTAGTACTTGAGTCTTTGTTACATTCCAGTCTCATAAATCATTTCCTTTTTGTGGTTTGTTTCAATAATGTGCACTATACATCCTTTGTAACTGAATAATGTTTAAGTCTTCCTGCTTGTTGTAAATGAGTCACTGTCTTTCTTTTCTTTCTTGCTTTCTCTTATTAGTGTTAGTAATCTCTCTTTGTACTCTTCTTATGCTTAATGTAAAGCACATTAGGTTTTTCCCATCAATGTGCGATATATTTTAAACTCGACTCGCTTCACCTCCAGTTTCTTGTCTCCCCACCATCATCCAACTTTTCTCTTCCCTACCCTCTTTTCCTCCATGCAAGCCTGTGCTCCAAATGGGTTACTCTGGCCCCAGAGCCCCACATGTGTAAGGGGATATCTCCTCAGTCAGCCTACATACAGCAGAGAGATCAACGAACGACAATGCTGCCCCAGCACACTGTAGGAAAAGTAGTTAGAGGGAAGAAAAGAAAGGGAGCAAAGATATGAAAATATCATCAGAGGACTGGAGAGCAGCTTGATTTTAGCTCCTGCAATCCTTATGTAAATACTGTACACATTCTCAAAGAGAGCGCACACACACACATATACACACACACAAACACTTCTGGCATCTGTCTGGAGGAGGGATCAACTAGATCAACCACAGAGTTTGGCTCTCCCCCACTGGCTGTGCTCATTCTGCAGTGCTGCAGAGGTGAAACATCATCTGCTTGTTGGTTTTGGGGGCTTTCTGATTACCTCTGAATACTTTGTTCAAGCAAACCATTATGGAGGAAAATATTACGCCTTTTCAGGGAGTATTAGGGGTATTACTGCCTGGCTGCATGTGATGGCGATCAACCCACAATGCAAATATTGTCTTTCTGTATCTGGAGTTTTCAATCCCTACTGTGAAAGCAACGCTTTCCAGTTGCTCCTAATCCATGCCACTGCATTTATCCGAAATATGACAATGCAGAAGAAAGAAAAGGAAGAACAAATGTAATGTTTTGTTCAGTTCACTAGCAAAAATTGCTGTTTTGGTGAAATGCTCTATCTGGGTGGCACAAATCCCCTGTCAAATGCAAGTGTTTTAACTTTGTGCAAGTCCACGCACATGCACACACATAAACACACACACGACTGGAATGCAGTATTAGCACCCTTGGTGCAGCTGAAGCCGAATACTTCACAAATAAGCACAATTGTCCTTCATCAAAGGGTGAAAATACTTCAGATTTCTAACAGTAAAAGTGGATTTACGTGTGTGTGTGTGTGTGTGTGTGTATGTGTATGTGTTTGCAGCAGTTAAGGGTTTTTTATAACCTTTTCATCAAGCAGTGATATGTAAAACAAATATATCAAATATTGTTTTGAATTAATATTCCGATTTGCTTTCCTTCCTGCTTTCTAATTCTATATAGCTCCTTAAATAATAATCAGATGTCATTTTTTGTCATTTTGAGGAATTTTTGATTTTAACAGTAACTTAATGACTTACAGTAATGGAGCCACACTCATACACGCTCATATCATTGCTCTTTGAAGTCAACGCATCACTTTTAACAACCGGGCGAGGTATAAATTGGTTTTGTTATCTCACAACTGCAGGAGGATGTCAGGATTACCTGTGTTCAGATAAAGAAACTTCTGCAGCTGTGTTGCGCTGAAAAAGCAAACACAGAGAGTCTGACCAGACAAGACTGCGGCATCTATTTCACAGGTTTTTACCTTTAGGAATGCAAACAGCTTCTCTACATTTCAACTGGAACATTCGAGAGAATAGTCAAGTAAATTTGAGCATTGCAAAACTGGGATAAATACACGGGTACATAAAGAAATCAAGTAAACAGGGAAAGGAATTCTATTCTATTATCATTTAATGACCTAAAGCAGATGCAAATATAATTCTCAGGATGTTTGGCTCCTTCTTAACAATACAGTGACAAAAACAGATTCTTTCTCTCCTCGGTTCCACTGTTTTGTAAAATAGCAGTGAGTTAAGGCACTGACACGGTTAACCATACACTGCTCATTGTGTCCGCAATTACTGCAGGACAACGCAATTGCTGGTTAATCATAAATACCCTCTGTACACTGTAGCTTGTGTCCGTCTTTGCTATCTGCCTGAGTCACTGCGGGCAAACAGCCTCACAGAGCTACTTGCACTTTGGACTGCGTGCGTGCAGATGCAGAAGATGCTGCAAATTCAGAGTGAAGCAAGTGCAACAGGCAAACATGTGATTTTTGAACAAAGCTCCAAAACTGTTAGATGGATTTACATGTTTGCTGAGAGTGAAGACACTAAGTTGTTGACTTTGGAGAATCACATCCCATCTCCTTCTTTAGCCTGCAGCTATTTAAATACTCCAACTAAGATGTAGCCTGAGAATACTCGAGGACTAAACTCACATCACAATGGGGTGTTTGCCTGACCTCCGGTCTATCAGGGTCCAGGGCCCAGTATGGTTTGCCAGGGCCAGCTAACAATGTTTGCTCTGCTTTATAGCCTCTCTGTTTGTTTTCCCCTTCACTGGAGCGACCACCTCTTGGTCTCAGCAGCACTCGAGTCCTAGCTGCCACATTTGGGGTCACCAGCCCGGGGGCTCGGCCCACCCAGAATGCAGTGCGTCCGCCGGTAGAGATAACACAACTGCTCAGGTGGTTTTAGTGCAGGGACGTCACCCTCCCTTTTGCCACACACACACACACACACACACAATGGTAATCTACCATTTAATGTGGCTCTGAGATCTTCCTCCAGATAGACAGCATTTCTTTGTTTGGCAGCTATCACTTCAGGTTTGTCAATCTTTCCCCTTCAGGACATCATAAAATTTAATAATGCACGTCAGCAGAATAAAGGACATACTGTATTTTCTCCTTCAGGTTGAAACTGTTAATCAACCATATGTTGTCATCAAAGGTAATAATTAACTGATAGATTTATTTCACAACGCAGCGCAACATAGATACATCAGATAAGCAACTGCAAAACTAAACAATGGTGAGCTCACACAGGGAGATTGTATCGGATTTGATTTTTATGCAACTTTTGTTTTGGTTATTAGCTTAGAGAGAATTCATATATCATCCTAGATGTTTGTTTTCCTCAGGCTGTAGGCGGTAGACTATAGTGTTGCTTTTCACAGTAATAGTAATACATTTCACACATCTGTGATGAACAATAGTGTTTAATATGTCAAGAGGATGTTTTTAGAATAATGTATCCAATTCAGGTATGATAGAAATTGATTGCATTTAATATATTTATCTTGATTTTTGATTTTAAAAAGGTTGTAAACTTATCAACAATAAGATTTTAAAAAATCTTTAATAGGCTAAATATTTTCCTTTTCTTTTGCTACTAGTTATTGTTTGCTTTTTTTTATCACCACCAGCTGCAGGTTAGAGTTTGCCCAGCCTTTTATTTATCCCTACATGGCAAGAGCAACATACACAAAGCTATGATTTACAAATCCTAACAACACCTTTGTTATAATTGTTGGGGGTATTATTAGTTCAGCCTACTTGCTGGAGTGCAGGAGGATCACATGAGGCCTTTAGGGGGATGGGCAGAGTTTTCAGAGGGTGGTATGGCTTTAAGGGTTTACTACCATCACTGCGCTCACTCACACTCACACAACAGAAAGTTTGGAGGCCGGCGAGCAGTGGGATACCGACGGATAGGAAGTGACGGGACTGCGTGAATTTCAGAGGAGTCGGGAATATCAACACAAAGCAGAATGAGAAGCAACGTGCGATCATCGGACTGTTGGCTGCGGTGCGTCGGGGGAAGCTGAAATTGCGCATGATCTCATATGAACAACGCCGGAGCGAGAGACTTCAGTGGTAGTGAACTAGGCTCCCAGGAGTGAAAAAAGCAGAAATTCTAGTGACGGGTTCTGTCGTCTGATTTCTATGACCGTGTTTGTAATTCTTCTGGAAAGTGCCGGCCGACTGGGGACCATATGGGACTGCGATCTATAAACTGTAACCCCGCTTTGAATATGAAGGAAAAGACTTTACGAAAAAATCCAAGTAAATAGTGAGATGGGGGGGATATGAGCGCAGATCTTTGGATTTCGCCTCGATTATTTCCTCTGTCGGGTTCAGTTTTGAGTCTTCTGGGATGTTTGCGAGTTGCATCTCTGCGCCTTCGGTTCGGATCCTGACCCGTCTGTGCGCCCTGGTGCTGGTCGTCGCTGTGGGACTCGGCTCAGAGCTGCGGGTCAGGGTCCGGCTCACTGACGGACTGGTGACCGAGGAGGTGTTGGAGGCTGACAGTGAGAGGGACACGATATCGCTCGAGTTCAAGCAGGGAGATGGGACACTCATCACTTTTGTGGCGGACTTCAAACAGGTGAGACGTGGTCTTGTTTACCATTTGAACTAAACGTTGTTAGGCCCCGAGGGGACGTTTCTATCCGACCATGATATATGAGATCTGGAAGAGGCTGTTAGAAAGTCTCCGATTACTTTATAATTGTGCATTTATCCTGAACCTGAACTTGTTACAAATGAGGACACTTCTTGGTTCCCAGAACTAAGGATGGGGTCCTTGAGAAGTCTCCAGTAAGTAAAACAATTTATTATAAGCCATTTTTCTTTGAATCCAAGACTTGGGACCTCTTTGAGATCTCTTTGAGGTCCCCAGACTTCACTTTCGGAAACCACTTATTTCATTTTTAAGTCATTTAACAATTTCACCTAATTGGGGCTTGCAGGAATCCTGGTGTGTATGTTTCACATGACCAGAAAGCCCCGCTCTAACAAATCCAAGTCTTGACCCCAGGGGTGAAGTCGACAGCCCCAAAACAAGGTGTGATAGATGGGAGTAAACGCCACTTCCTTGATACCTTTTTCCATTTTTTTTTATTATAACTCATAAGATCTGCCCTAAATCTATATCCCATCAAAGCTGAAATCAAGTGGCCACAATGGCTTCTTGGGTCAAGCTAAATGGTTGCCTCTAGGCAAGTATGCGGGCTCATAGATCTGAAGCTTTAAGGAAACCATCCAAAAAGCCTAAAACCCCCTGGAGCAGACATTGTTGCTCGCACATGAACTTAAGTAGAACTTGTTTCATTCATCTTTTTCCATCTCAGCTTGAGTTTCACAGAGGTCAAGACAGCTGCTGCTCCTCAGACTTGGATGTCCACAGACCCCAATGGCCTTAAAACCCCTGTTACTCCAGCCCAGAGCTGATCATCAGCCGCCATATTTAGCATTCTTCTAAAAGTAGCTGAGCAGATCAAGTGTCCCTCCCTGACCGGCATTACATCCACAATTTTTGGAAAGATGACGCTGTTTCACTTTTGACGATTACTACTCCGAGACATATAAATGTCAGTCCTGGAAGGAAAACTACAACTGCTTTGTGTAAAAGCGGGGTGGGACTCTCGGTGGCGCACAGAGCAAAGGCATGTGTCTGTGATGGTTGCTGTCACACAGAAGCTGACAGGCTGGCGAGATGTGAAGGGGGAGATTTACCAGGATTAAGTGGGCATGTCTGACCTTTTTGATCTGCACGTCTGGTTCACTAACCAAAACAGCTAATTTTGAGTTGAAAGAGAAGAGGCCGTCACCCCCAATCATTGGTGACAAACCAATATAAAGAGACATACACTGATCTGTGAGCAGGGAGCCGCTTGCTTGGTTGTGCAGGCGCCCGGTGTTCCCGAGTCCCTTCATGCATGCACACATGCGTGCACACACATGCACATATGGTTTCCTGTTTATTTGAATAAGCCTAATAGAACCTCTTAGATCACTTTTCTTTTCCGCTGCCTGGATTTATCTGTTACAGTTGTAAGTTGGCCTCCTTGCCCCCCCCACCCCCCACCCCACCTCAAAGCTCTTTCTCGCTGTGTCCCCCTCTCTGTCTCTTGCTCACTTCTTCCTGCCTGCTCTCTTCTAATTTCTCCTGCATGTGGTTTTCATTCAGCTCTTGTGCAGTATCTCCAAGATTCATGGAAAGTTGGATGAGCTGTCACTTCAAGCTGCCATAAATATACAGTCCAGATGAACGCATGTGGGAAGACGAGTGTTTTAACAGGGATGTTAAACACCGGAGATTTATACTGAACAACATAGCCAACGGTGGATAGGTACTGTACAGGTTAAAGTAAAGTTACTCGTCATTGAGTGAATCTAAATCTAAAAAAAGGATTTGATCTTTGCTACAACTAGGATCATTTCAAATAAAGCAGCCGTCTTGCTCTTTTCTGCTTTGTGGATACGTGGCAAAGATGAGATGGTAAATGTTATAGCCATTAGACACTGGCGGAGTAGTCTGCTAGATGTAAAAAGGAAGTTTAGTCAACCGTACTCAAGCAATGAATCACTGTGAGAATCAGCCGGACTGTGATTTCAGGAGGGTTACATTTGCTAGGAGCCATATGGAAAAGATGATGTGGTTTAGTTTGCTCATGACACCTCTGTGTCATGTTGAGTAAATCTCAACATGGAGATAACATTGTTAAGTTCAAACCACTGAAGAACTGGGATATTGTCATTTTAATGAAAGATAGGAATCATGGGAGGGAGTTGTTTATCCACTGTTTATGCTGTAATTACATTTGTAAGTTTCTGAACTTGTTAAAAACCTTTCACAGTGTAATTAAGGCATTTAATGTTAGGAATCTAACTATTTCATTACGGTCTTACAGCTAAATCTACTTTAAATGATGTACAATTGCAGCAATCTGTCTGCAGTTCAGTAATATCCTGATGACATGCTCAGTGTCATCGCCAAGTCTTGCAATACAACACAAACCCAGTGTGCTGTTGTAGCCTTGAAGAGACAATTCCTCTTAAGTCATGTGTTAGTTGCACATTCAGCACCGCTCTTTTCCTTCAGCAACCACTGCAACAATTTATGGTCTAACACAGTCTAAGACCTTGAGCTGAGCATAAACCATGTCTTGGAGATTAATCCAAGGGAAATGTCTCACATATTTGAGAGGTCTGTTTTGGGTCTCTCCAGATGTAGAAACTTTGTCAGAGAATCTAATCAGTTTGTACTCATGTGTCTTGCTTTCATGTCCAACGAGTGGGTTTGATCAATGCAGGAATGTGAGTGACTTCACAGGCTTCTCGGCTGAGTTAACACTTGAGGAAGTTTTAATTTCTGGGATCCAATGGTGCACGTCCTTGCAAGCACCTTGGTTCTATAATACAAAAAATTGAGAGTACTTTTTTTTTTTTTTTTATCTGCTTTGATTTATTTAAATAAACAAATACCAATAATAAATATCTGGCCACACTAATGCAGAAGCTGTTTTAAATTTGGAAAGCTTTCCACCCACACTAATGTTTTCAGATCATATTAGTCTGTCATCCTCACAGAAACCTTGTTTTTCATTCCATCCATAATACAATATCAAACCATTTTCAAAGTTAACCACTTCAGAGAATATTTTTCTATGCTGGAAAGTTTTATCCTCATCAGTGCAGACATGTGATGAGTGACCCCTTGCTGTGCTGATGGGTCAAAGAGAGCAACAGATGTTGAAAGCCACTTGACACTCACTATCTCACACTATCATGTTAAATGGGTCTGGATTTTGTAAACAATGGCACCGTGGCGAGAATGAGTTGTGTCATCCGTTTTATTAGATTCTCATTTCATTTCAGCCTCCTAACCGGATTGTGTTTCAGCTGGGGGCAGTTTTAACCTCAGGTCAGTTCACTCTAGTGTATATTCTGATTGTCTTCAAAGCACAGAGGCTTTATGGATACGCCCAACTGTAAGCTCGTCGTAAGAATGAATTCACACACACACCCTCGTGCTATGTCAAAAGCAAAATGGGAGTTGGGGGTTGGGGAGGCAGGTTTGGTTGGCCTTTCTGTGTGCCCTCCCTTTGGGATGTACGGTACAGTATCTGTGATACAGCTTGGCAGATGTCAATTCCTAGTTCTCGCACAGCCTTCATATACTGTGTCACCCATTAAAATTGTTCAAGTGGATTTGGACTGTGCCCTTTATTAGCTATTAGGCAAACTCTGTCCTGTGTGGGCGGCGTGCTGGCAATCCATTTTGTTCTGTTATTTTTGTTTTTTGGGAAATGCCGGTGTTTGCCAAATGAAGCAACTGCCGGTTGTTTTGTACTGTGCATCAGTTGCAAGTCATAGCAGTGCAGTCACCACATTTTATGCCTTGCTTGTTTTGTTCTTTGCGTTGACACACCTTTCCTCTCACTCAACCCTGAAACACCATCCCACTTTGTCACTTGCACAAACTTGTAAAGTCTTTTTTTACAGGTAAGTGTCACCCATTCCAGGAAAATGTTGTTTCAGACACTATTGAGGACGCATAAGTCTACATCTGCTACTGTGTAAGGTCAGAGCAAGTCACCCGTGAGTAACCAACACTCATGAAACTGTACATGTAATAAATTATCCCCAAACTACAGGAAAATGAAACAGAACTTTAAGTAGACTGTTTACGTTGAAGAGTATCTTAGAAGATGTCTACTCCTACTCAGTTTCACTTTCTATGCTGTGGCTCCTTTCTGTGTGGGAGAGAGATACTCCACAGATAAGTTACTGCATAGTCAAACAAGATGTGTGATTAAGAGGAACTGTATTGCTCTTACTTTTCAAGAAAGTAATATCTGTGTGACATGTTGCTTATAGTTTACATTAAGGTCCTGTGCAGGGAAATGCACAGATTCCATTTTATAGCTGAGATTATGTCAGTTGTGGGGTCCTTTTTTATATAATGCTGTTTCTGCTCCCTGCACCTTTCACTGCAATGTGTGCAGGCAATAGGACCTTTTTCAAAGATGAACCCATACACTTAAGTCGCTCTCCCAGCCACCCTTTGTTCCCTGCTGACTCTGAATCCCAGGAAAATAGCTTCCTCTGTGGCCTCGTCGTGGCACTTCAAGGCCCCACATGGGCCCCCTTTGGCCTCTCGTGGCCCCTTGGACCCTGTTGATGTCTTTATCCTTTATCCTCCTCCCACCAGTAGGCCAGATGTTCGTCTGTAATTCTGCTGATAAAGAAAAAAGATTCTAATTCCCACAGTCATGCAGGGAGAGAGGACGTAGCAGAAAGAGACAGATAGCTAACATCCACCTTTTTTTTTGTTTTGGGTTTTTTGGGGGGGTTTTTTTCCCCAGTGATCAGGGACTGTGGACTGCATGGTGCTGTGGGAACAGCCTTTGGATGGACAAGGAGACAGTAGTTGTGGCTTGCACCGTGCATAGTTGTGAACATTTCTAACTACCTCAGAGGATTTAAGATTGCAGTTGGCAACAAAAAGCTAACAAAGTGTTTACTCTGCCAAAGCTTCTGTTCTGTTCTCTACACAGTGTCCTGAAATGTCCTCTTGTGAAATGCATGGCTGTGTCCTTT